TAATTTTGTTTCCCGGGCCTTTTCCACGACCTTTTATGGCCCCCTGAACTTTTCTTTTAAGGCAATTTCCAGGCACCGGCCCAAGCGGGAACCCGTTTCCCTCCTACTTCAAAGGGACGAGGCCCCCTTTTGGGGCAAAAAATTTTTTTTCTTCATCTTGGGGGGGCTATGTGCAGGTTTTGCAGCCGCCAGATTTCTTCATGTAGCCAAACGGTCTCTGAAAAAGAGAAAAAACCCCGAGGGGGGAAACCTCACAATCTTCACCCCAAAACCATAAACTTCAAAAACACAGTGGTCCCCTTACCTTGGGGGAAACCCAAAAATCAGTTCGAAGGGACTATAGCGGGAAAAAATCCTGAGTTGTCCCCCCCGGCAAAAAAAAAAGGGGGGAACCCTCAACCCCCGTCCTTCTTTGGTACTGGGCACAATTTGGGGCCCCCAGCAAAAGTTTTGAGAGACGGTTAAAAACCCCTCCACCAAACCCCCCGACTCTCTGGGTGATAGGCCCTGGAAGGGGGTTTATTTTAATATTAACTCCCCCCAAAAATGTGCAAAAATGTTTTGATGTAAAATCTGACCCCACTGTTTTAATTTTCCCTTTGGGGATTCCCCAAACCCGAGTAAAAAATTTCAAAAAATGGGCCCCAAAGGGCCATTGGGGTGTGTAATCTTACTATGGAAAAAGGGCCCCCAAAACCTGGTAAGGAACAAATAATTGTAAGTAATACTGGTTTCCCATCTTTGGGCCTGGTACGGGGCCCCCCACAAACCCACCACCAGCCTGCTAAAAGGTTCCCCCCGGCGACTGTTATAGGGTTTAAATGGGCGGTTTAATTCCCCTTATTAGGTTTTCCTACCCCTTTTGGGGCCAAAAATGGGCATGATTCAACATACTTAAACCCCCTGATTTCCCCTACCTTTGGGGCCCCGTAAAAATTTTAGAAAAACTTGCCCATAGTTTTTTTTAAAAAAACCTAAATTCCCTTTCCCCTGGAAAATCGGGGGGGCCAAACACAAAAACCCGATACTAAATGGTTCCGGCACCAAACCCCTTGGTAGAGTGGGCCCGCCCTGCTCCCCTCATTAGATTTGCATCCCCATAAGGCCTTTTGCATTAAAAAAACCGTCTGCAAAAAAGGGAAAAAATTTAGTTAGTTTTAGAGGTCCTTCCTTTGTAACAGCAATACCGAATAGCTTTTAGGGGGTCGTCACACCCCCGGGCCTCGATCACTGCATCTCGAGTAGGATTTCCCCCCCAAAACCCAAATTCCCAAAACCCCCCCTCAAACCGGGGCCCCTTTCCTGGGGTGGGTTCATCAAAAACCCCCCACCCAAAACCCGCAGGGAGGCTAAGGGAAAAGTTTTCCCCCCCCCAAATAACCCCCGGATCAACAGCAAAAGAGAGAGACTGCCCTTTAAACTTTTGGGCATTTTCCTGGTTTCTGCACACAACGGAAAAAAATCGGGGAATGTAGCCCCTAGCTTTTTTCCCTCCCAAATCTGTGACCTTTGGCCCTCCAAACCCGAGGGGTTTCCCCACTTTAAGACAAAAACCCTGAAAATTATTGGGCCCAAGATAGGTCCCAAACCCCCGCACAAGGTTTTTCCTCTGTGATACCCCACAGCTAAGTAACCACACTGGTATGCAACCCCCACCCCCTAACCTGTGCACTGGGGTCTTGCCCGGGATCCCCGTAATTTTTTTTTGACAAAAAATCCCCCCCATTTTATGTGTCATCCGACAATGGCAGTAAGCCCCTACGAAGCAAAGTGTTGGCTAAACCCGTGTTTCCCCAAGGGCATAACAAAATTTTTCCCCACCTTCATTTTGGGGTAAGGCCACGGTGGACTTTGTTGAAAGAACCTTCATCCGAGGGGCCAAACCCCGCGGGGTTACCCGGGCAAACTTTGGAGGTGGTGCTTCAAAATTACTACCGTGTGGGTACCTGGGGGTTCTACCTTAGAAACTCCACAAGCGGGCCCGTCTCTAAAGCATCTTTTTGCAATTTCGGCTGCAAGCCCTTTTTATGACAATAAGTAAAGTAAAATGGTTTAAAGGCCCCCCGCCCCTTTTATCAGGTTTGGGTCCCTTTTGGGTTTTGGGAACTGGGGTCGTCCCCAAACCCTTTCCCTTTTATCCGGGCCTGTGAAGCTGAAATTTTAAAAACCCCCCTCGGTGGGTACGGGAAAAATTTGGGTTATTAAAATCTTTTTGGTTATTAGCTGATAAAAGGGTGGGTTAAAAATTCCGAAAATTTTTTAATTTCCCATTTTTGGGGGGGAGAAAAAATTAAACCCTTTTAAAATATTTGGGGTGAGGTAACTACTACCAAATTTTTTGTTAGCTAAAAATCTGTCCCCCGCCTAAAGCATTATTAAAATCAAAGATCCTTCCCCAAGATATCCTTAAGGGGCAGGAGGAACATTTCTCAAAAGATCCTCTAACAAAATTAAGGTAATTTACACCTTCATAATTGCCAAACCCCAAACCCCTTTTACGACACCCCCTATTTAGAATGACAACTTCCCCTTACCAAAATTCCACCAAAACTGCTCTGAAATGAAACTTTTTCCTCCCGGGAATTTTTTGGCCCCGTACCTTTTTTCCGGGAACAATTTTAAAAAGCCGTAAAACTCCCACTTTTTGCTTTTGAAAATCAGAAAAGGGAGATCCCTTTTAAAGAACAAAAAGGGCCCGTAAACCCTTTAAACCCAAATAATTGGGGGTTTTTGCAAAAGCGCCCATCCCCTTTTCCCCGGGCCCAAAATTGGGATTGGGCCGTAAAATTTTTAAATAACAAAAAAACTGGGTCTGGGTTTTTCTCTAAAAATTTGGGCACAAATTTTAGGCTTTATTAAATAAAAAAACACTACCCTTTGTTTCTTGTTGGGGGGGAAAAGCAAGCTGCCTCTCTTTGCTTTTTTTGCCCCAAAGCCCCTCTAAGGCTCTCTGTTCCGGTTTTTTTGTGCGTCAGTCTTAAAACCTTTTTTTTTTCTTCCACTGGGGTTTTAATTTTTTTTTAAAAATTACTACCCCTTTTATCCAGGCCCCCTATCATGGGATGTGATCAATGTCCCCTTTCCCAAATGCTGACCTCAGAATTTTCACCAGTGTCAGCCATTTGAAAAATAATAGCACAATCTTATACCAGCACAGAACTCACTAAAAAAAATAATAAAGCAACAGCAGGTCCCTATACTGAAGTAGTATATTCACGGGGGTTGCTGTGACTCCTCAAATTAAACAGGATTGTACACAAAAAAAAACCCTGCAGAAAAAAAATAAGAGCTACTGCACCTGCAAAGGTAAATTATTTCCAGAAATTTAGGTGAGCAAAACCCCCCAAAAAAATCAGCAAGATTGTCCCTGCAAGGGTAAATTATGCACAAAATATCAAGTATTAATAACACCCTAAAAATCAACAATATGGTACAAAAAAAGGTAAATGTTTTATAGAGTATTAATTAAAATTTAACACCCTAAAGACCACAGTGTTGCACACAAAAGTAAATTATTTTTTTAGTGTGAGTGTTATAGTGAATGCTTCCTCTGACCAACCCCGTAAAGAATGATTTTTGACTTTCCCAGGTTGCAAGCTTGAATTACCACATAAAATTTGATAATTCTCCCATATACAGGCCCCCATGTTATGCAGAAATGTGGGATATCTGGGGGCTTGAGCCTTGTCTAAGGGAAATAAGTCACTCTGTCTGACTTTTTTTGGGGGTTCTTGGTTTCTCACATTCTGCTATTTTATGATAATTCTATGTAATGTATTTGTTATCCTGAAAAAACTTCTTACTTATTACTTACTTGGGAAAAAAAAAGTTTCCAACTTTAGCCCAAAGGGCCCCCCGGGCTACCCAGACAAAACAGAAAGCGCCTAAAACTGGTATGTGTACTAAAGGGGTTTGGGAAAACAAGGGGTTTTAGGAAAAAAATCCCAATTGGGAAAATTATCTATTTAGTCAATAACATAAATAACAAAAAAAACCTTAATCCAAACGCCCAAAATGGGGGACACAAAAACGGGCGGAGGTCCAACCCCAACCCACTGGCCCTCGTCAGCGCCGGGCCCACATCTCCCAATCTAATTCTTATTTCCTCACTCCCCCCACGCCCCTGACCATGTCAGGCGGGGGAACATACGGGGTAAGCCATTAAAGGCCTATGCTTGAGTTGGATAAAAAAAAATGGTGCAAAAACTAAAAATTATTTTAAAATAACCGCTCTCCGACGCCAGCCTCTACACACCATGCTAAGTCCGTGACTCCCCCCAAAAACGCTTACTCCGCGTACCCAAAATCCCTTGGAAAAAAAATCATTAACAAAATTTCTTTTAAAAAATTTAGAGAAATTTTCAGACCCCCCCCAAAAGCCATTTCAATTATAAAATTATTCTTAACAACTATCATTCATACTATTATGGACCTTTTCCCCTATATGTCATTCGATGTCATGCAGAACCCGCATAAATCTTCACTCAGATGTTTTGGCATGTCATCAGGGGTTTGTGGTAATGTCACTAGGGGTTTGGGACTATCACCAGGTGTTGTGGTACGCCTCAGGTGTTGTGGTACTGTCACTCAGGTGTTGTGGTACTATCACTCAGGTGTTGTGGTACTGTCACTCAGGTGTTGTGGTACTATCACTCAGGTGTTGTGGTACTGTCACTCAGGTGTTGTGGTACTGTCACTCAGGTGTTGTGGTACTATCACTCAGGTGTTGTGGTACTGTCACTCAGGTGTTGTGGTACTATCATTCCTGGATTATAAACATTATAATTAGCTCTTGTGTTTATTGTCACTATAATATTGTTCCAATATTTTCAACAAATTTTACCCATATTATTGTCAGTGTTTTATTGTAAATTTAAGAGATTTACGAAAATGTTATTAACATATCATAATTAGTCAAATATTACTGTTGTCACAATATTGCTAATAAAACATTACAATTATAAGTTTACAATATAAACAGAGTTATGTTATGTCTACAGGTGGCATTTATTCGGATACTTAATACTGTGAAGAGTGGTGTCGACTTGTTCCAGGACCCAACAGTGAAGCGAGTGCTGTATATGGACGCATCCTGTGTCCACCCAGACTATGGTCGTCATGGTATTTGTAGGAAGTTAATGCAGGTGGGTAGTGATTAGCACTTGTGGTTGTGTTAAGGTAATGCAAGTTGGTGGTGATTAGCTCGCGGGAGGTGTTAAAGTGAAGTGCGTGGATGGTAATTAGTTCTCATTGTCCTCATCGCTCTCGGGCTGTGTGGACCTACTGCGCAAACGCTCCTCAGTTGCCTGACTGCAGTGGTGTGAGGTGGTGCTTGTCCCCCCTCTGCCGTCAAACCAGGAGAACTACCATCAGTCAACATGGCGTTTAGTAATAGACGCAGGATCAACACTGTCGGCGTTGAGCTTCTCTGAGGGGCAATAGCGCCAGTTTCAGCCCAAGTGTTACTATCTAAAATCATCAGAGAGACGTATGGCATTCAGGATGGAGAGTTGTACGAAGTAGCCTTAAACGAAGCACATAGAATTTTTGTGAAACTGCTTTCAGCAACGGTCTATGAATCGTTGGTCAACCGTTTTCAGGACGTAAGTCTTGATGCAACACCAGCTGTTCATGTGAGAATGATTGATGTATCCAAGCATTATACATCGATCAAACTGCGTAATGTCCCATTTGAGGCTGATGAGACAGACATCAGAAGAGTTTTTGAGGGATATGGAATTGTTAATTTGGCCCAGCATGGTACGTGGGTGACGGGTGCCTATCCAGGTCTGCCAGAAGGCACTTTTAACCTAAAAATGACATTGCGACACCTCATACCGTCCTACGTGTACCTGCAGGAATTCAGGACACAGGTCATGGTTTCGTACGCCGGGCAAAGACGTACATGCCGACTATGTGAGGAATGTGATCACATAGCAGCGGCGTGTGGGAAGCGGCAACGAGCTCCTGGCCCAGAGGCGGAGTCATCCACTTCTACACCGGAGGGAGCAGGTAATGATCAACGACGTGAAGGAGGGCGTGGTCGTCTATGGAGTGAGATAGTGGATGAGGCGCATAAGGCTAGGGGAGAGGGTGAGGCCCTTGACCAGTTGCCTGGTCCAGAGACACTTCCAGAGGATGGAGACGAGCAGAAAGGACAGGAGGAAGTGTTGGAAATTGAGGAAGAATCAGCTGAGGTGCTGAAGTCCTTGTCACCGCCTGAGGAGGAGGCTGTACCCAGAAAAGTAGTAGATGGGACGATTTGACAGCTACGGTGCATCAACGACAGGAGAACTATCCGGACGACGGGAGTGACAGCGTGACTGAAGTGTCACCGGGATCATTGAAACAGTGTACAGTGGAGGTTGAGGTACATTGTGAGGCATCCCCAGACCAAGCTATGGAGGATGCGATTGTCACAAGAAAGAGGGCCGCTGCGTCGGATTCGGATGATGTCCTAATGCCAGCGCAGCGGCCTGGGAAGCAAATATGGGCAGAAGGTGAAGGTAGTGGTGGCCACGACAGGAGGCACCGAAAGAAGGGGGGAGAGAGGGAAGTGTGAAGGTGACAAGTGGACCCATAAGTTCTGGTGCCCATCGGAAGAGTGAAGAGAGGAGGCAGGGGTGGAAACTTTAATAGGCCTCCGGTGTATGACAGTAAACGTTGAAGAATTGAGACACTTATGCAACTCATGGGAATCTTTATTGAAGAAATCTTTCGCCATACAGTGACTTCATCAGTATAATACAAAGTAGAAATGGGTAAGGAGAGGAGAAGTTTGAGGTAATCATTCCCTCAACCTTGAATCGATGTGTTCAGTCCATCACTCTTGTAGGAAGTGCAGCATAGGGCCAGAGAGGTGGCTTATACATTGCAGTCAGATGAGTCGAAGCACAAGGAGGCGGAATCACAGTGGGACCTGCCACTAGTGTAAGTAGATCGTCGTTCAAAAGTTGGGCAAGCGTTGAAGTCTTTGTACCAAGATTCCATGATGTTGCAGTGTCTGACAGATGTGATGAATGGTTTAGAAAACCGACAAGTTGAAGAATTGAGACACTTATGCAACACATGGGAATCTTTATTGAAGAAACGTTTCGCCACACAGTGGTTTCATCAGTCCAGTACAAAGTAGAAATGGGTAAGTAGAGGAGAAGTTTGAGGTAATCAGTCCCTCAACCTGGAACCGATGTGTTCAGTCCATCACTCTTGTAGGAAGTGCAGCATAGGGCCAGAGAAGTGGCTTATATACTGCAGTCACATGAGTCGAAGCAGGAGGAGGCGTGATCACAGTGGGACCTGCCACTAGTGCAGTGTTATTCACTAATTTTTGCAAGAGAGCCACTTCGGTTAAACACATTGATTGAGAGAGCCACAGCTACTGCAAGTTAGCGTAACTCAATTAAATTAAGTAGTGTTGGGAATGTTATAATACCGGTATTAATCCATTCGTACACACCTTGTCAACACTTGAAACCCTCATGGAATCTTAATTCTGAGGACATGTACATAACCTTCACGACTACGACAACTACTACTACAACTAACCCATCTCTTTGGGAAGGACCTACTTCCACTGGGGAAATCCCGTACAGTGAATATGCCTGTCGCTACACTGACGTTACTATATAAGCCCGGATTTCTTTCTTTCTGCTTCAATATCTCCACGACTATGGTGCTGTTCGCACCTACTCCTAGGTTGAGGGACTGATTACCTCATCTTCTGTACATAGTTCTACTGTCTTCAAGTTATGTCCTAGAATTTGTATTGATAAAGCCACTGGATGGCGAAACGTCTACAATAAAGATACCCAGATGTTGCACATGTGTCTTACTCTCATCCTAAATTAAGTAATACTGAGCTGCTAGTGCAATATAGTAAATGAGAAAAATTAGACATGGTAATATTAGCCTGCATATCTCGTTATTAATAGCAAAATAAAGACGAAACTTGCTTTATGCTTCTTTTCTACTGGTCGGGTCTGGGATGGCTGTTCATCACTATTGCGTTTTTGTTTAACCACAAATCGATCCATCATAACGGACACTACTTGACTACTTTGGTTTCAAGTAAAACTATCCCATCGCAAGCAGTAACAGTTAAGTCGTTACTTTCATATATGTTGCTGCAGTCTCAAATATCTGTTGCCTATTTTGAAACACAAATCTCCAAGAGTAACGAAATACGTCCAGTCTCCCCCGAAAGCTAGAGCTAGACGAGTGCCTGATCAATTTCCCATAGTGGACACGTATGATTTCTGTATGACTAGGGTAGGGATGTTAGAATGTTATCTCTTACTGTGACTTCGTCTTCCATCTCACCTCATGAAAATATGTATCTTACTTGAAAAATTATTTTTCTATATATTTTTTTTATTAATTAATTTATATATTTTTCGAGAGCCGTGAACTGAGTCATCGCGAGCCGCCAGCGGCTTGCGAGCCGTGCAATGAATACCACTGGGTTAAGGGGTTGTTATGGGCACAGGGCTGTGGGGGGCAACTATCCTATGGATGAAATTGTCAAGGTCAAGGGGAAACTGAGGGAGTTACAAAATGAGAGGTTTCAAGTGGTAAGGGTGCAGGCAGGGGTAGAGGAGGTGCTTTGGGGAGACAAGCCATCAGCGTGTGTGTTGCGACATCAAAAACAAAGACAGCAGGTAACAGCTATTGTGAGGTTAGAGGTACATGAGATGGCAGGAGGTTATAGGGTAGGTCAGGAGATACGAGCTACGAAAGGAATGTGAAAGGAATGCGTGAGTATGCTGATAAATGGTACGAAGGGTATTGGAAAAGTGGGAGGGTGGGGGATGTGGCTTTAGAGAAGGTGTGTGAGTATGTGACGTGTAATTTAGGGAATAGTGATAGGAAGGCTTTAGGAGGCGTAAAAAACAGAAAGGAAATAGAGTTGGTTTTAAGGGGAATGAGGAAGGCAAAGCACCGGGAATAGAGGGTCTCCCTGCTGAATTTATCTACAAACATTGGGAGGTTTCATGGGTAGATTAAATCAGATAAAGGAGAAGAGTGTGATGGGGGACAAGCAAGCAACAGCAGTTGTAGTGTTGGTCCCGAAGGGTAAGGGCAGCACACCCTCAAGGAGTACCGTTGCCATATCGCTGTTATGTGCAGATTTATAAGTGTTTCCTAAAGTCTTGGGTAATCGGTTTAAATATGTGGTAGGGAGAGTGGTTTCAAAAAATGCAGTATGGATTGCCTGGAAGGTCGATGATTAAAGGTCATGGAATACTGAGAAGTTTTATGGAGTCAAAGGGGGGGGGGGAGGCGGCGTTTTGTGGGTTTTAGACTGGCAGGGGACCTATGACAGAATGGAAAGCTATACTTGGGAGGCAAGGTTATGGGGAAGAAATAGTTAATTGGGTAGCCACGTTGTATAAAGGAGCTAAGATGAGGGTACAGATTAATGGATGCTTGGGGTAGGAGATTGTAATGGGTAGGGGACATTGGCAGGGGTGTCCCATGTACTCACCTATTTGTACTCACCTATTTGTGGTTGCAGGGGTCGAGTCATAGCTCCTGGCCCCGCCTCTTCACTGATTGCTACTGCTTGCGTGCATTCAGGACCCCTTCTATAGAATGGTTGAACGTTGTGTATGTAACACGAGTGGGGGTGAGGGAGAGGTAGGGAAAGTGTGGCCTGGAATAATAGGATATGTAGACGATACAACAGTCCTGGTTCGGGAAGGGATGGCGTTGGGGTTTTTGGATGATGTTGTGCAATTGTTTGGAAGTGCAACAGAGATGCAGGTAAATAGTGAGAAGTCAATGGTCATAGGGTTGGGTGATTGGGTGGATTGATGGGAGATGTAACGTTGTGAGGAAACAAACGGTGTCTTTAAAAATTTGTGATATCATCTATAAAGATGACTTGGACGCTGCTCGAGAGGAAAACTTAAATAGGTTGTTGGAAAGGATCCTGGGGCATCTGGGTGCACTGCGACCTCATCATCCAACTCTCGTGCAAAGAGTGATTGTAATAAATGTATTATTGTATAGTAAGGTTTGGCACGTAGCAACCAGGTTTCCAATAACAGGGACGGCGATTGTGGGAATTCTGAGACGGGTGTTTAACTTTTTGTGGGGTTCAAGGTGCGATTGGCTGAGGAGAGAGGTTGTAATGTTACCTGTG